TATATTTTATAGTTATAATTTTTACTTAATGTTAAAAATTTTTATATTATCTTATATATTTAATAATTTTAAAAACTAATTAATCTAATCAAATCATACCTATTTAATTTAAGTTAGATTAATGTAATTATCATATAATAATAAATTTAATTAGTTTAAAATTTTACTAATAAGTTAAATTAAATTAATTTAAAAAATATTAAAATCAAAATTGAAGTACACGGAAATACCCCACCCCTAACACTCGCCTGCGCACTCTCTCCCTTAAAGATGACACGTGGTAGTATATAATTATAATGCTGAATTGTCGACCGAGCTTCTTTAATGCTTGTTCGACATGGTTTGCGAGAGTTTTTGTTTTTTAAATATTGTTATGAGTGATAAATTTAAATTTTTGTTAAAAAAATTTAAAAATTATTTTTAGAGATAAAAAAAAGAGTGAAAAGTAAATAAAAAGGAAGTTTTTAAAAAATTTAAATTTAAAACTTTTGAATTTTTATTGTTTAAAATCTTTTTATGGTTAAAAAAAATTTAAAAATATAAAATTTTAAGAAAAAAATTTAAACTTATGAAATATAAATAGTGTGAAAAAATTGAAACTTCTAAAAACTTCACCAAACATGTCCTAAGTCTGCTGTGAAATTTTTTCTTCCACTCACTTTTTGATATTTTATTTTTATCAAGGGTTTCATAAAAAGAATAATGGGTTTTTAAATTTGTATTTTTGAAGTATAATAAATATATATTTCGTTATAAATTTATATTAAAAAATTAATTTTTAATTTATTAATTATTTAATTAAATTTATTTGTATAATAATATTATTAAATAATATTCTTTTTTATAGTTTTATATAAATTTATTATAAAAATAATTTTAATTTATATTTTATAAACATAAATTAAAAATATATTAAATATATTTTTTTCATAAATTTATATTAAGAAAATAAAAATTAATATTTATTTTCTCATTTATTTAATTAAATTTATTTGTTTAATATTAATATTAAACTAATATTAATTTTTATAATTGTAAAGGAGTATAAGAACAT